TCATCTTAAGTTGATTTGCTTGGTTTCTGTCTCTTCTGTGCTCTTTCAGTCTTCTTGTGGGCCTTGGTGTCATCTTAAGTTGGATTGCTTTGTTTCTGTCTCTTCTGTGCTCTTTCTGTCTTCTTATGGGCCTTGGTGTCAAAAAGCTCTCATCTTAAGTTGGTTTGCTTTGTTTCTGTCTCTTCTGTGCTCTTTCTGTCTTCTTGTGGGCCTTGGTGCCAAAAGAACTCTCATCTTAAGTTGGTTTGCTTTGTTTCTGTCTCTTCTGTGCTCTTTCTGTCTTCTTGTGGGCCTTGGTGTCGAAAAACTCTCATCTTAAGTTGATTTGCTTTGCTTCTGTCTCTTCTGTGCTCTTTCTGTCTTCTTGTGGGCTTTGGTGTCAACAAACTCTCATCTTAAGTTGATTTGCTTTGTTGCTGTCTCTTCTGTGCTCTTTCTGTCTTCTTGTGGGCCTTGGGGTCAAAAATCTATCATCTTAAGTTGATTTGCTTGGTTTCCGTCTCTTCTGTGCTCTTTCAGTCTTCTTGTGTGCCTTGGTGTCAAAAAACTCTCATCTTAAGTTGGTTTGCTTTGTTTCTGTCTCTTCTGTGCTCTTTTTGTCTTCTTGTGGGCCTTGGTGTCAAAAAACTACCATCTTTTTGGTTTCTGTCTCTTCTGTGCTTTTTCTGTCTTCTTGTGGGCCTTGGTGTCAATAAACTGTCTCTTCTGTGCTTTTTCTGTCTTCTTGTGGGCCTTGGTGTCAAAAAACTCGCATCTTAAGTTGATTTGCTGTGTTTCTGTCTCTTCTGTGCTCTTTCTGTCTTCTTGTGTGCCTTGGTGTCAAAAAACTCTCATCTTAAGTTGATTTGCTTTGTTTCTGTCTCTTCTGTGCGCTTTCTGTCTTCTTGTGGGCCTTGGTGTCAAATATCTCTCATCTTAAGTTGATTTGCTTTGCTTCTGTCTCTTCTGTGCTCTTTCTGTCTTCTTGTGGGCCTTGGTGTCAAAAACTCTCAGCTTAAGTTGATTTGCTTTGTTTCTGTCTCTTCTGTTCTCTTTCTGTCTTCTTGTGGG